TTGGAATCAGCCCAACTCTCCAACCTGTCCAGGTCCCTCTGCAGAGCCCTCCTGCCTTCCAGCTGAAGGACCAGCCTCACTGCCCTGCTTGGTTTCCCCATCAGTCTGAAGCCCTGCAGTCGTACCTGGCAGTTCCCGGAGCTCTGGCCTCGTGTAAATCATTTATTAGTCACTCTGCCCGCCTTTAATTGCAGTTCTGCTCCTCACAACTGACAACAACAGCCACGTTTGAAGCTGCCTGGAACTGCTGCTGCTCCCCAAGGTTTGCAGGGCCGAGTTAAGTTTATATGTATTTATATAACAAATGAGTGACTCAGATTTTCAAAGGGGCCTCGGTGCGGCGCGAGGTTCCTAATCCTGCAAAGATTTATGGGCACTGAAATTTGTGGGATTATTCCTGTGTTTAAAAGCCCTTTTCCCCCCGAGAATTAATTTCACCCTCACGCTCAGAGCATTTAAAAAAATGCTTAGGGCAAGTTCCTCAGCTCACACGAGTCTTTTATCCGAGCTGTGTTTGCAAACAACTGTGGACACGGTCTGTGATTTAATACAATGGGAAAATAAATATTTTCGTGTTTTCTAATGACTGGGGCTGAAGTCCCTGCCAATTTTAGCAGCTAGCTGAAAGAGAAAGTGAAACCAAACAGCCCCAAGTCAAATATCTCCTTCTTTGTAATGGCTTAGGAATTTGTTGTTGTTTTTCAGTTTCGAACCCTACATACATAAACCTAAATAAAACATACATAACCCTAAATAAAACAGGTAAACACTTGTATGCCTGTTAGTTTTTGTGGGGTTTTTTTCGGGGCATTGTGCATTGGAAGAGAGATTTTTTTGGCAACACTAAGAGGCTGCTCTTTCCTTCTCCTCACCCCCAAGCCCCAAAATTCATCCTGCTGGCTGGAGAGCCTTCTCCTTATGGATTCACCACATGCCTTAGAAACTCGATGGAGCCTTGGATTGCTGCCCTGCTCCAGGCTCTGCTGGGCTGGGGAAGAGGGAAGGGGAGTGTGTGCCCTCGGATGCTGGTGCTTCCCACAGGTATCCCAGAGGAACGGGATCCTCCTCACCTGCCTCGGGCAAAATCAGCCAGGTTGGCTCCAGGAACTTAAACTCTGTGTCTGACTGACCTGGAATTTAAACTCCTCTGTGTCTGACTAACCTGGAATTTAAACTCCTCTGTGTCTGACTAACCTGGAATTTAAACTCCTCTGTGTCTGACTAACCTGGCCAGGTCTTCTGCCTGAAGCAAATCCAGGAGCACCTGCACAGTCCCTACCTGGGAGAACCTTTTCTCCTGGCACAGGGTCAGCCTGTGGCTGCTGCAGCCCCTGGCATGGCTAAGCATGGCTTAATTTGAGACATCCAGGAGCTGTTGCCAGTGTAGTTTAAACTCTGCTCCCAAGGGATTAAGTCCATATTGGCATACATGCTTTTTTTTTATTGCTAGCAACTCTCTTTCCACTTTTTTTAAGCATGGGAAACTTCTGCCAGCAAACAGAAGCAAAGCCCCAGCCTGAATTTCTGCCACATCTCTTTAAAAATATTTTCGTTCTTGCAGAGGCGGAATTTTGGGAAGTTCATTAGATTGAAGAGAAAGTACATTTTTTACTGTATAATTAAAAATATTAATTATAAAATAAAAGATGTGCACTGGCACAGGGTGCCCAGAGAAGCTGTGGCTGCCTCATCCCTGGAAGTGTCCAAAGCCAGGTTGGAGTGACCTGGGATAGTGGAAGGTGTCCCTACCCGTGGCAGGGGGTGGCACTGGGTGAGCTTTAAGTCCCTTCCAACCCAAAGCATTCCATGATTCCATGGTTATCCAGCAGTCCTGGACTCAAACTAGTGATGGCAGCAGCAGAACTGCACTCAGGGGTGTGTTGTTACCCTGATCCCTAATTTCCCTCCCTTCCTTTCCTCTGGGGCAAGTAGAATTCCCTCTTTTTCCTCTCCTCACTTTTGCACCCCCAGCCCAAATATTTTGTCATTCCAGGCTGTAAGTGCTCCTTGGAAGTTGCCAGGATGACCCTGCCAGAGCCCAGACTCGGGTAAGACTTTAAAATCACCCAGAAAAGCCCAATTGTGTCACTGGCATTTCAGCTCCTGCTGCAACAAAGGCCAAGTCAGTTGAGGAATATTGCCTGGAATTCTCACCTGGCTTCCCCCAGCTCATCCAAAGGCTTTGCTCTGTGCTTCCCTCTCCTTTCACACCCCCTCCCCTGCCCATTTCCACCCCACCTCCACCCCCCGTTGGGGCTGCACTGTCAAAAGCCTATTCCCAGCCTGGATGGCTTTTTATTGAATGTTTGTGAGGTTTGGATTAAGGTCTTACACTGCAAGCAAAGCTGTAATTATTTTTGCCTGTATTACTATATATTGAATCGATGTAACTTTTCAATAAAGGTGGTTCAATGCAGGACACTCCCAGATGAGTTGGGAATATAGAAACCACAGTCATTATCCCAGAGGGTTTTTTTTTTTCTTCTTCTTTTTTTTTTTCTTTTCCTCTTGGAGGGAAATGGAAAAAAGAATTAGAGATGAGCCTTATTGTATTAACCTTGACAGCTTGCAATTATCAACTGAAACACTTGATTAAAATTGTCACAAGGTTGGAGAATTTTTTTATAAATAAATAATCAAACACGGGTAGTACCCAGATGCTGTGGTGATAGGCACCTTTAATGGGTGTAATTAATAATGATCATAAGCCTGGTGGGTACAAGTAGCCTTTGAAAATGCTGCCTTGGAGTGGGAAAGGACTCTCTGCAATTCCAACAGGCATTTGGTGACAACTGGGAAGGGGCTTAGTGCTGAATCATGGAATTCTGGAATGCTTTGGGTTGGAAGGGACCTTAAAATCATCCAGTGCCACCCCCCTGCCACGGGCAGGGACACCTCCCACCAGCCGAGGTTGCTCCATCCTGGCCTTGGACACTTCCAGGGATCCAGGGGCAGCCACAGCTCCTCTGGGAATTCCAGCCCAGCCCCTCCTCACCCTCCCAGGGAGGAATATTTTCCTAGTGAAAAGGCAGATTTTGGTTTTCTCTCATTAAAAAATAGAGCTCTTGTCTAGCCTGGGGAAGGGCGACTCAAATGACCATCCCAACAAATGAGAAAATAATTAGTTAATTAAAATTTTGTTTAGTTGAGAGATATTTCAAACTTCTTGCTAACACTTCAGGTTTTGTTTCTAAGCAGTCTGGGCCACTTCTACCTCTGCCAATAAACAGGGCAG